ACCAAAAAGACCATCACTATATAGCACACACACACACACACACACATCTCACCGCGTTAACCTACATGCACGTGTTTAAGTCGCATAGTCAAACACAATTAGCAAACGATATTGTGGATGCCGATTAGTATTCCCAGGATTTTTCTTAGAGTTATCCGTGAGAGCAACGAATCCTGACACAGGAACTTGTTCAATTGTAACAGTAGTCATATTGAAATCCGTAAAAGTTTTGTAACAAATAAAAAGAAGGAAACTATCAAAAATAGTCAAGAAAACCCAACAGTGGAAAACAATACAGAGCAACAGACTACTGAACGATAATCACATAAAAAAGCCCGTCGATGAATTTTCATTTCAACTGCTTCGAGGTTGCGTAACAGGTGTCAATAATAGGGCAGGAGGAAAACGTCGCAAGCATGAAGACCTGACGGACGTTCAAAGCAGACCACACCGGAATGAATGAATCAGGATTCAAAAACAGGATGAAGTGTGAATTAACACTGAGTAGCAGAGAAATTTACCTCAACATTACTCACGACCGACTGTTTGTGTAAATGGCGGCTGACGAAAGGTTCATCCGGGCTAGGGTTGTGAATCTTGCGATACACGCTTGGGTAGCGTCCACCTATGGAAAATAACACAAAGAATTGAGTTGGAATATCAGTGTAACAGGTAAAGAGCAATGACATGACAGAAATGCGAGACAAAAAAGATACGAAAATTATTTTCGGATAAGGTATATCAGGTGGTAAGAAATCAATAGATAACCGTGACCGGATCGACTAAGACTCGTCAATCGTGAGCAATGGAACAATTTGGTATCTGGTTAACTAGCGGCTCGATTTTATAACAATGGATTGAACAACCACATGATTCATGTAGATACACAGAGAAAAGCTCCAACGTCGTGTGCTGTCGTAGGATTGGGTGTTAACTATCTGCATTTTGAAGCTCAATATGTGGAATTAACGGAGATTGATTCCGGTATTGTGACAAACAAAGTTAACGCAGTGAAAGGGAGGGCAGTGCGCATAGTCAGAGGTATACCAGCAGACGCTTGCATTCGTATAACAGTTCTCTAAACTTGAAGTTTCAGATGTACTTTCATAATGTTGATTGTGAGATCATGAGTGAGAGATATCTGCACACTCGAGGTTCTCAACCGGATTTTTGTGTATTTCACTGAATAGTCCAGAGACAGCCAAATTACACAGCTTACAGTATTTTGGCTGGAAATTTATATTTTGACATCAAGATTAAGACACTGTTTATTACGCGTTTCTGACATGAATTTACCACACGATACTGTTTGCAGTTACTCGTTTAGAGTCAAGGAAGTTAGGTAGAAAACAAAAAAGGCTGAGATGAGACTCGTGACCCCGGCTATCTGTGTTATCTGATTATCGATTCACCTGAACAAGAAAAAGAAAATGGCACGAACCAGTCACAGTTAAACTACCGGTATTCGAACACCGCTTTCCAGGCCGGATTCAATGAGTCTGGTGAAGCAACCGGACAAGTAACGTTTTGGTTAGACGTAAACCTTTAGGTAATCGCGGTCGCGTATTGGAGCAGGTGTATGACCTCCTTAGATAGCCCGTACATGTGTTACCTTTATCACCAAGTGCACCGTCACGATATGCGATGTTTACCGAGACAAGTGGGGGACGGAAGAAAATAATGTGGTCAAACTAAGATCTGGCATTAATGTATTAAAAATATGACCAATTTACGGAGTTAGTTTGTTGTATTCGCAGCTCAGGTCCTCCTTTTGTTTGGCAGTAGGATTGATTACGCTTCATCAAACCAGGCCATTCTTATCTCCGGCGTACAGAAGGCTCGGTTTGCACTTACCAAATGGAGACATCTGTGGCACCATCGCGACATACAGCTATCTGTGAAGGGTCGAGTACACGCTTCAGAAGTTAGGCCAGTTCTGCTCTACAAGGCAGAAGCTTGGCCATTACGGGAAATGGATACAAACAGATTGTCGGTGTTCGAACACCGCTGTCTACGCCGCGTTTCATTTGGTGGGTAAATTGAGCAATCAATAGACTGCAGTGGTTGGGACACGTGTTGTGCATGTAACAAATAGGTTACTACGGCGCCAGATGTTTGCCGAGGCAGGAAGCGGATTGAAAAACGCCAAGGGCGGTGAAACTAAGACGTGGCATAGGTACGTGAAAACCTTGACCAGGACACCGTGTCACAGGTGCAGTTAGGCTCCCTGGATTGGGACCCCGCGATCAGAGTAACCAGAGGTTACAGACGCTGAATGACAAGTTTAACTGTCGCAAACAGTGTCGTTCGTGCATCTACGCACTATGCATGCCAGATAAGTTTATATGAATTCTTTATGTTCCACTTGAATCTGCTCTCAACATTCCGCATTTACCTAAAACTCCGAACCTAATCTTAGCATTGCTCGTCCGGCTGCCCCATCAGATTCGTGCAGTGTTGCGTAGACAGCGGTGTTCAAACATCGACAGTTTATTTTATCCTGTTTTCTAAATGAGAAAGTTTCTGTGCCATATAGCAGAACCGGCCGAACTGCTGCAGCATACAATCGACCGTTAACAGACAGTCGGATGTCGCGACGGCTCCACAGATGTCCCGAATTGGCAAATGCCAGCCGAGCCTTCTGTATGCGAGCTGACACTTCATCCACGACGCGTCCACCGGATGAGATGTAACTGCCCAAATAAAGAAACTTATCCACTGGTACTATTACTTTCCGAGTTAGAGTTAGGCTGGGTGCTGGACCAACACAGCCTTGTAGTAGCACTACATTTTGAAGGAGCAAAAAGCATACCGAACATGGCTACGCTGGCACTCAAGCTATCCAGAAAAGCTTGCAATAGGTTCACAGAGCAAGGTGATCGACTGAGTCGAATATTATCAACGTATAACCTGATACAGTGAAGCAAACTTCACTGATCGCTGCCAAACTCATAATGCATACAAGATAAGAGAGAATGTAAAAGGTAATGAGGGATTAAATCGATTTTCATGAAAGGGGAAAGAAAGTGAGACTATATGGGCAACACAGAGTACACAGTACAACTGTGCTTACACGCGTTTTCAAGCATTTTAGTCTGATAAGAAGTGACAGAAAGATTACCACTGTCGTCAGTTTGCTGCAACGACCTTCGGTTCCTCCCACCATCTGGTTACGGAATCGTTTGGACCCCACTGCAGAAGACGAGACACTTACTCTACCTAATCGCCCTGTGTATTTCTTCATGCCTCGTCCCCACGTCATCTGCTGACCTCCACGTAGCTTCCCCCAATCTGCAACAGTTACTGCAAAGTAGGCGCGTTGCAGTAGGTGACCGTTAGTGATACGCAAAACGTGTCCTAATCAACGGAGACTATTGAGCTGAATCCGATGCGATAGGGAGTTCTTGTTTGATCAATTTCCAAACATGCGACAACCGACATTTAGGTTACTAGCCCGCTCACTCTATCCCACCTAAGTCGAATGTTGTTCTTATGTACAAAAGCACGACAATAGTTTGTCGCCAACGTGTGGCGGTGATCCAGTAGCTGATGAGGAGTAAATACTTGATGTAGGCAACCACGGCATCTATGAAACGGAGCCTGCATTATGCGGATTTGCGTCATGCGCCTCGACTAATCTGATTCTCCCAACGATAACACAGATCAACAGAACCCTTTTTATCAGCGATTTCCGAAGATGAATATTATTTTTGTGGTTAATCAAATTCTCGGCAAGAACGCTTTCTGCAAAGCCTGTGGGAAAAACAGGATACCGCAAACGTGTGTAAATCCAAACCGGTCCACCCATCAACCACATCTGTCCCTAGTCCATTTTTATTCAACGAAAGTGAGTACAGTAAAAAGAGGTAAACCCCATGATCCAAGGATATGCTTTACGTGGGAAGGTAAGGGAAACATTCAAATTGAAACTAGTTTGTTGATACTGCGCTTAAAGATAAGGATGTTGTACGTTGGAGGGAAGACCGAAAGGGGGAGAATGTTCTACAGTTGTGCTGTTCTTGAGAAAAAAGATGATCGGCAGTTAGAAATGCGACACCTGAGGATAGTCACTTGAAATGGGTAGCTAACCGCTTGTGAACGGGATCGACGAGAAAGAACAAATGGGAGGGACAGAAGCGGAAAGTTCACAAGAGCAAACTCTAAAGTAGTGCCGATAGAACAGGGATAAAGAAGCGGTCTATCCGACGGTGAGTTGGTGATTGCAAATTGTATGTCGCGACTCTCAGTTATTTCCACGCGCCACCACTACCGTGTTTTTGTTAATGGTGGTAAACTTCAGGCAGTGATAGACACTGGTAGCTCTGACAGGTGTTTCGCTGTCCGTCGATAAATCATACGAGTTGAAAATTCCTGTGAATCTCGAGTTGCTAAGGCATTGACGTCTTTTTGCGTTATAACTGGTTATTGTAATGCCATTATAAGACAACCGAAAAAGCCCTCATAAAAATGTACGACTCACTGCAGTGAATACTCTATGCACTAATTTCGTTTAAATGATGAACTATGGGTAGTGAGCGTGGTCTTTTCTCTGTCTTTGGCTTTTTTTTGTGGCCAAAATCGAATCAAACGCATTATCTGCCCAGTTTTCTTTTAATTGTAAGCCAATCGCTACGGGACCGAGAAGAAATTCGGTTAAAGATGAGCAGTTCAAGTATGAGGTGTATCGTTTTCTAGGGGACAGCATTATTGAACCTCTTTCTGGTTCTTGTTAGCGAAAACGCTGACCACAAGAGAATGGGTGTTGACTATAATCAGACGGTTGGCCATACAAGTAGATGCATTTACTCATTATCCTTGCAATTTTATATCTCCTCTTGGACTTGGCTCTCAAACTTCCAATCTTTCTTCAGCTCCTTTATCCAAATGAGTGAAGACAGCAACGAAAACCACCGCACAAAGGTGTTTGTAAAAACTGAAACTGAAATGTTCATCCACTACCACACATCGACGCTATGATAAATAACATCTCGCAGTGTTTTTTCGGTAACTCAGCAACTGGTTTATACGTCACATTTTATATAACATCAATTTGTATGGAAAAGAGAAAACAAAATTATTGATTATTCAAATGGGGATTCTTATGGTTGTTGTTGTTTTCTGTCTCCGATTCACAAAACCGGATATGGTTGATCCTACTATCAGAACTTACACTTGGTCCGCGTTGCTTGCGTGATTTGGGGTGGGATTGGGAGGGGGAGGAGGATGAGGATGGGAGGTGGAGGGCCATGGTAGGTTGACTGAATTCACAAATTGTTTTTGGGCGCACAAGGGGGATTATGTAAACGAATTCCAACCGCTTCTGCAGTGGCAAGGATGCGATTTTTAATCGGCCTTGATTTGCGATCCCGAACATGGTAGAGAAGCCAAAATGATTCAGCTTCGGCAACCTACACCTTCGACGGCTAACATACGAGCAAAATACGGGACGAAAAAGTCCAGAGGCCTAGTATCGACCTAAAAAGGCCATTGAATCGATATAACCGCGACCTGGTCGAAATACTGCTTTCTGTTCGCGGATATTTGTCTCCCTAAACGGTGTCAGACTTTGCAGTATGACGGTTAATACTTTGGTGACGATTCGGATCAAACTTATTCCATAGTGGTTTGCGCAGTCGTTGCGAGATTCCTCCTTAAAAATTGGGACGACTAGTGATTCGCTCCAGGATGACGGGATGCGCTTTTGTGAACAGATGTTTCGCGTTCAATGAGTAATGGAGTCTACGAGGTAATCGCCCCCCATCTTGAAGAGTGGAAGCCCATCCGGTTCTGCTGCTCTTCCTTTTTCATGGCTTTAATGTAAGATCGTACTTCCGTTTCGTAGGAGATTCACATGGCACTGTCCACGAAGTCTCAGTTACAACAGACGATAGTCTGGTTAGCGCCTGGTCAGCTGAACTGTTCGTTGAAGTACACCGCCGGTCCAGCCGTTGTTCCCCATTGTGAACAGCTTGTCCACTTTTATTGTAGATTTTCTCATTAACTGTGGTTCGCCGACCTCCCGTGTTGCGCACTAGTTGGAGTAGTCTTTGAAGATTCCCTGATAAAGCTGCTACTTCCATTTCACTGGCTATTGTTGTCCACCATTTTTCACGGTCTTTCTTGAGGCTCTTCGTGAACTGACGTTGCAGACGCCCCCTAACCGTGTTCTGATCTCGGGTGGCCGGGATTTGCTGCTTTCAGTGCTTGCCTTGGACGGGCTACCGCTTTGAATCCACAAGCAACTCTAGTTGTGGAATGAATTACCCGTCTAATCTGATCTCATTGTTCATCTACATCATGTTGAGACGCGCTTAGCTCTTCCCTAGTTCTGATTCAGAACGGGCACGAACGTTTGGTTCAGTCAAGCAATGATCTATCAATTGAGTTTGGTGGGGTTTTCTGCGACCAGTCAGTTGGAGAGTGCATCAAAACTATCGCGTTGTTAGACCTAACGCAGGTGGTCCAATAGGACCTGCAGTTTTGCACCGAGTCAAGCCAACGGTAGCTTACTGTTATGTGGTCGATTTGAGTCAGCGTACCAGTTGAATTGAAGCTCCCTGTTGCTGTCCATTGAGAGCTGTGTCGGAGGTTGGTACTGGATAGGAACAGATGATGAACTGCGCAGAACTGAAGAAGTCAATCGCCGTTATATGCCCGCTGGCAGGACAGAGTAAAACGACCGCAAAGACGAGGGTGCTGGTGGCGCAGTGGTTTAGTCGCTGTCACAAGCGTGCTTTGGACCCTATGGTCCGAGATTCGAGACCCGCTACCGCCACCCAACTTCAGTAGTAGGCAGCTTTGCTGTCGTCCGGTTCAATACCACACCTAACCTACCGGGGCCTCATAAGGTTCATCACTCGAAGTCTC